AAGTCGCTGTTCCAAGGGACCCTACAAATGTCTCTAATCACACGGTGCTGTGATTGGCTGTGTCCAAATGCACCGTGTCCAAGTGCACCACTCCCCACCCTTAAGCCTTAATCGGTGAGTCGGAAAGGCTGTCGGTGAGTCGGAATCGGGAGCGGTGCACTTGGACACGGTGCATTTGGACACAGCCAATCACAGCATCGTGTGATTAGAGACATTTGTAGGATCTCTTGGAACAGCGACTTGTGATTGGACTGTGTCCAATTGCCCCGTGTCCAACTGATATACACCCGTCGGAATCGATGAATTGGTGAAGCTGGCCAACAGCCAACTTTTAAGACTACCGACTAGCGATTTTCTTATGACTGACCAATCAAATGCTTCGCATTGATTGTCCTAAAGAGAGCACTATTTGTATACGTTAAACACATAACATGTGCTGCGTTCCGAAATTAACTGTCTAGTATACAAAATCTACAGTATACGTAAGTTAACTATAGAATAGTAGTATTGGCAGTGAATTTCGGAACGCAGCACATGTCCTCAACATCCTCTTTCTCATTGGTTAAGCCGAACGACTAGCGACTCATTGTAGATGCGAAAAATCATAACATTACGACTTAGATTTAAGACTTGTGTTTTCCAACTACCGACTCATCGTAGACCTAGCTTTACTGCGCTACAGGCTCTGTGCGGTTTTTGTTGCAAATCTGCAGCAATTGCCCGACAGCAAGCTCTGTCGCCAAAACCGTAGCTGAATGAGGACACAGATGGCTATGGTTTTGGTGTAAATTTTTAATCAAATTTGCTGCAAATTTGCGCGCAGTCTGTGCTCAATTTGTTTACTGGGCGAATTAATTAATCGAAATAAAAACATCGAGAAAAATAATCGATTATTTCTAAAAAAAATATCGAACACCGATTAATCGAAGCAACATCGCCGATCATTACTTAAGAGAGTTTTTCAGTAAAATATTTCAATAAAATATTTCCATCAGGGTTACGAAATTGAAAGCTGATTAACGAGTGACTTCTTAATGGGAAAAATACAAAATATGCGCTACCTTGTAATAAATACGATAAATGAGAATTATAAAAAACTGCAATAGAAAAAGAGGGGGGAGAGAAAGCCAGTCATATATTCTTTAGAAAAATTATGTATGGAATGAGAAGATTATAATTGCTTTCAGCGTCAATTATATTTTTTTGTGATTTTAACTACAAAAATAGTTAGAAAAACCATTGTTTTAGTAAGTGTTATTAGAAAAATGGTTCTTCTACTTATTTTTATGGTTAAAATCACAAAAAAGTATAGTTAACGCTGAAAGCAACTATAATTTTCTCTCAGTGTGGAATATACAAATGTGTAGTATGGAATATGTGTCTGTTTAAAGATTAATTGAACGCATTGCTTGATACTATATTTCTAACACTAAATAAACAAGTATGTTTATTCACATCATAAACGTTCTGTGCTATAGTTACATACAAAACAGTAAAAAATTTAAAGACAATCAAGTTTTAATTGTTACATGGATTCAAAATTATTTAAATTTATAACACAAAATTAAAATGTTCAATATTCATCATAATACCTGTTATTCATTACTTAAAAGAAAAATTACATAAATAAGTATAAATATAAGTTTAAATTTGTTATCTCTCTTGATTGTTATCAGATTCCGGAAATACTTTTTCCAGTAGTTTAATACACATTTCTTTTTCATCTTGATTGTCTTCAGATCTCCCATTCTGATTGTTTTTAAAATCATCTAATAAGAAATCTAAAGTAAATCTCAAACGTAATTGGGGCTGTCGAAGTTGCTCCAAAGCTGGTAAAAAGTCATCATTTATCATACTACATAACATTCTCAATAATTGTTCTCTACAAAAATAATGTTCATAGCTTATTAAGTATCATACTCAATATCAGAATATATAATATTCTAATAATGCTAGAAATATCTTACCTAATTTGTAGCTGCAAATTATATCTAGACAATAGTCCAACTGCTTGCTCAATGAAACCCATTTTTACTAAGATATATTTTATATCATTAGAGTTTTCCTTATTACACAAATTAGAAAGTAAAAATGCAGATTTTATTTGTAGCTTTTCAACTGGGCTCTGTAATGCTCGCAGAAGTACTGAATAACCATCGTTTATTTCCATATATTTTAATGATGTTGGATTTTCTCTAACTATACCTGTATTCAAGATATATCAAATGCATTTGTTAAAACTTAATATATTGACTTTTATGTTCTATATTACTTACATGATATTGCATAGAGAGCTTTTATTCTTGTAAATTCTGATAGATCTGTGTCAATCATTGACAACAATATAGGAAATAATCCAGCTTCTAGTATTTTTTCTTGGCAAAATGGGTTATTTTGTGCTAATTCAGCAATAATATCTGCTATCCTCCATCTTATATTACTATGTGAACAGTTCAAGCATATTTGAAATATTGAAAAGCCTCCAATTTTATAAAAATCATTGGCTATGTCAATGTTATCTATATGATGACTAATTCTTTTAAGTGCATTTTCATATACTAATGAATCCCCATCAGGTTTTAGATTAATAATTCCAGATAAAGTTTGTATATCTTCCTGTAACTCTTCTATTAAATTCACTGTTAATGATGATAAAGCGTTGCTTAAGAATGTTTTCTTCTGCAAAATATAAATACAATATTGTATATAAATAATAAATTGTAGATTAATACTGTAATACATACTTCTTCATCCAAAGGATAAATTTGTGATTTGTTCTCCACATTCTCAAACTGTGCTACATCTATCGCATATTTAAGCAATCCTTGCAAGTTAGTTGGCTGTCTTGGTTGATTTAGTAAAGGCTGCAATGGAAATGAGGTATGCTCGGCACTATTAGAAGTGGAGGGGCCCTCAATGGGCAGTAGTTTCTTATTACTATCTGATTCATTCTGCTTAGTATCCTCTTTCAAGCTTCCACTCACTGATCTGATATCAAGAATTTATTACGTTTATGTTACGTATATTTACGTAAAACACATTTAGATTTGAATTTTTAGATTACTAAATAAATAATATTGATACTTACTTTTTCATTTTAAAATCAAATTTTTGAAATTAAAATGTAACAAATGTAACAAAGAAAACTTTATGTTTAAAGAGAAGAAACAGAGAAGTCAACTTTACTCGCTTATTTTTAAGGATCTGCATGAGTCGTAGCAGAGAAAAGGAGAGGGGTCATGAGCCGGTTTTAGCTGATCCCGAGTTCAGCTTAAATAAAAATCCTTGAGTAGAGACTGGACATAACGGGGTTCCGTGTGCACATAATTTTTGCTCACAAAATGGCAGCGCCAACATAAGTTAGAGTGAGAAAAAATATACTCGTCTCACTCTATTTATTGCACTAGTGTAGCAGTGCAGCGAAAAAGTACAGACAACGCACTTTTTACCAGCTCATGTATTGGCGGCTGCCAGTTTGTCCAGTCTCTCTTGAAGAGTCTCTAAGCTGAAATGGCTTACAGCGCCTCTAACCAACCGTGCACATAAACTACGTAGCCAATGTGCACGAATTGTCTCAGTGGGTAAAGAAGTAATGTTAATGATTCTTGATGTTAGACAAAACAGATAATCAACATTATCTGTTCTTGTCTCACCACAGACGAGAAACAATCACAGCTGGGTTAAAATTAAAGATGCTCGATTCTTAATCGATTCGATTCTTTCCCTAACAAATTTAAGGAAAAAGGGTTGTTCGTGCTGCTTGCATGTTTCATACTTTTCGCTTTTAAAAAGAGATGGACGCCTAATCAGACGCTTGAAAGAAACAATCGAGTTGGTTGTTTCGCTTTGGCTTCTTCCAAACATTCCAATATACTTTTGTCTGGTTTTAAATACGAAAAATGCAAAGAATGCAAACAACACTAATAAGCCTATTTTTGAGGAAAGAATCGATTCAGAATCGGGTATCTCTAGTTAGAATGCCATTACGGGTGTTTACGATAATTCGAGTTGGAGTTAGTACGAGTTAGTTTCACTAGAGTCGAAAAATATGATAGGCACAAGCATCTAGTATTTTCATGATTCATGACAACTCAATGCTGTCCGATAAATCGAGTAGAGTTAGGATAACATAGTGGATAGTATATGTATAAGAATTAACAATATCAGGTAACATAGTTTCGTAAAATATATAACAATAATATTACGAATCAATGAGTTGTTACATTTTAGAAAAATTAGAAGCACTAAATTAAATTATGAAAAGATATCATGTATTTGTAAAATATTCAAAAGTAGAAAACAATTATTCTAACCTATTATTAATCTATTATTATTGAATATTTCACAAATACATGATATCTTTTCATAATTTAATTTAGTGCTTCTAATTTTTCTAAAATGTAATAAATCATTGTTTCGTAATATTATTGTTATATATTTTACGAAACTATGTTACCTGATACTGTTAATTCATATACTATCCGCTATACTACCCTAACTCTACTCTACTCGATTTATCGGACAGCATTGAGTTGTCATAAATCATGAAAATATTAGATGTTGTATCTATCATATTTCTCGGCTCTGGTGAAACTAACTCGTACTTACTCCAACTCGAATTATCGTAAACAGCCTACATGAAACGCGGAAACGCGGAAGACAAAATTTTACTAGATTTCCGCATTCCGCGAATTGAATCATTTCTTCCCGTACGTTTAAAAAGGGGAAAAGCGGAAGGCCCAAAACTTTTCTCTGGTTGCTTTCCAACAAAAGACACAAATCGACACAAATATCATTCTATCTTTGGGTGCTTTCCAATTACTTAACACATCTTGACACACATGTACACAAAATCAGTTTATTGGTCACATATTATCAAAAATATCTTGTAAGATAATATACAACCAATAAACTGGTTTTGTGTAACACAGTGTACGCAATTGGAAAGCACTCTTTGTTACTCACTAAATGTGGAACAAAGATAGAATGATGTTTGTGTCGACTTGTGTCTCTTGTCGGAAAGCAACCTCTATTGTCTTTTAGGGTGTATATTAGTTGGACACGGGGCAATTGGACACAGTCCAATCACAAGTCGCTGTTCCAAGGGACCCTATAAATGTCTCTAATCACACGGTGCTGTGATTGGCTGTGTCCAAATGCACCGTGTCCAAGTGCACCGCTCCCGCTATTTCTAGTCCTAACTCACGTATTGATTCTACAACTACCGCTATGTCTCGATTTGCTTTAACAACCGTAGCAGAGTAATCATAAGCTCTAACAAGTATAATTGTATCGTCAGCGTAGCAAATTACACGAGACGATTTACTGACGTTCGATTCGAGAACACAGTCAAAAGTGATGACCCAGAGTAGAGGACCCAAAACAGACCCTTGAGGTACACCCGCTAACATGTATTCACAGTGATACTGACCATCATTACCTTTAAATAGTATGGCTCTATCACTAAGATAACTATTAATAATGTTAATTAAATAATCAGAAAAGCTCTTGGCTTTCAAGCGTTTCAAAATAACACTCCATGGAATGCTATTAAAGGCATTCTGGACATCCAGGCTAATAGCCAATCCACATTTGTCCTTAATTGGCTGTTCTGTGAATTTCCGGACTTCAAATAAAGCGTCTAATGTGGACTTCTGCGGTCGAAACCTGAATTGCAATTCCGCAAGGCCACCATTAGGCATCGCGGCCAATTCACGCTGTAATCTCAAGGATATTACCCGCTCAAGAGTTTTTGCAATGTCGTTAATTAGACATATAGGTCTATATTTGGGCGATGCCCCAAACGCTACCGGTTTAGGCAATAAGACCAATTTTGCTATCTTCCAAGAGGTAGGAAAAATTCCTTCCTCTAAGCAACGCGTCATAATAGTCGCAATTTTCCGAATGAAGGTGGGGAGCGTACTTTTCCATATTATTCCCTTCAATCCATCCGGACCAGGCGCAGGACTGCCCGTCATAGGAACCAATAGTCTTTTGACCTCGTCAGCATGAACTCTAGCATCCCACTCCAAGGGATCAGGGTTTTTTGGACAATAAGGCCTATTAGTATCATTAAAGCGTGGAAATAGATCAAAAATGATCTTACGGACTTTATTAATGTCCAGGTTCTCCGTAATAGGAGCAGGTAAGCCTTTAATCTTTCGCATAACAAGCCTGTACGGCTTTCCCCAGGGATCATGATTGAGAGTGTCTAATAGTTCCTTCCAGGAATTATCTTTAGCCTTAAGGATAGCAGTTTAATATGCTTTCCGCTTTTCTTTGACTGCCAGGAGGGCCATCCATTTATCATCAGAGGATGCACGTTTATTCTTATTCAATCTCACTAAGACACGATTAACTTTATGCAGCGCCTTGCGCGCATCCGCAACACTTTGGCACCACCAGTATGTGCTCTTAATCTTAAATGTCTTTTGCCTTGGTGTAGAGCAGTCACAGGCTTCCTTAATCGAGTCGTTCAGCCAAAAGGCCATTGTATTAACATCTATATCATCCCTCCATTCTTGCGCTGAAGAGAGATTCAGACGTTCTTGGAATAGATCTTTGTTCTGTTTTTTCCACGCCCAACGTGGGCAAAAATCGGACCTATCCTGTTTAATGGTCCATCCCACAGAACCCTTAGGGTTCAAGGTAAATCTAACATATTGATGATCAGACAAGGAGTCCATTTCTTCTGTTTGAACTACTCTCCAATCAGAAAATTTGGCAGATAAGCCAGGACTCGACCATGTAAGGTCGATCACAGAAGACTCTTGGGGTCTGATACACGTTGGATAATACCAACGTGTTACCAACATTAATCAGGCGAAAATCAAGTTCTGCCATAGCCTCATTTAATATATCACCTTTAGTTGTATCACGTTGCCATCCCCATAGGGAGGCTCAAACGTTAAAATCACCAGCCAAGAGAATATGGCAGCCCGCATATTTCTTAAGAACTGACAGTACTTCTTCTACCCAGCCTATAAATTTGTCAGTAGTAACATTCGGCGATATATAACACGACATAATATGCAAGTCACCACATTTAGCCATGACATAGCCATTACCTCGACACAAAAATATCGGCGTTCGCAGCTTAGTTGCATTGCAATACGTAATAGCTGAATCCCCATTTAAGTCAGCTAGCCACTGAGTATTCAGAGGAACATTATTAGGCTCCGAAACAAAAGCTATTGTAATTCCCTCATCTAACATATACTGCATAAGCGCATCTTGCGCCGGTCGGCTCCGATTCAAATTAATCTGGACAAACTTAAGCATTATTATCATGATTTTCCTTCCTCCGTACGGGTTGCATACGTTGCATGGACTTGCATTGGACTCCACCCATGCGGTGATTATACTGAAAACTATTGTCTTGACAGACCACACAGTGAAATGTAGTAGCAGTACACATCTTAGCCGTGTGTTTTTTGCTGCTACATTTGAAGCACAATCCGGCACGTTTTTCTGTGCGTGGACATGTTAGTTGAACGTGGCCATAATGCCAACACATAACATTGGACCGGCTTAGGCTCCAGCAAGACAACTCTGACACTAGTCCATCCTAGTCTTATACTACCCAATTCGGAGATCTTAATAGCAGCAGACAGAGGTATATTTACCCATGCAATGCCCATGCCGTTTCTCATTAGCTGCAGATCTCCTATACGTATATCATCTAACTTAAGTTGACCTACTTCTGCTATTGTACAAGCGATTTCTTCCTTGTTAATGGAATCATCAATACCTACAAGTTTTATGTCCGCACGTTTAATTGGCCTGGTTACCCTTGCATCATTTTGTACAAGTTCACGTACTTTCACAGCCAGTACGTCTGCTTTACTTGCTGCATCAGGTCCCAGAACCGTAACGAGTGTGCTACCATTCGCTGTTTTGGCAATCTTAGTACGTTCAATTCCTATTTCTTGTAGGCTAATATTGTCACGTACTTTTTTCAGCAACACATGTGTAGGTATATTTAAGTTCTGGCTGCTAATTGTAATATCCGAATTTCGTGGCACGCGCTTTCGGGATGAACTACGCGTTCTAACACCCTCAGGAACCTTCTTCTGTTCGGAGGTCTTATTTCCATCCACCTTCATAACAGCCTGTTTGCGTCCACGCTTAACAACCTCAGACCAAGTTGACTTTGGAAGAAGTGGTTGTTGCAGCTCCGGCGTTGCATCCATAGATGTATGAGGAGGCACTAGTTGTATATCAGACACTATCCTAGGGCCCTTTCTTGCAACAGAGGGTTCATCAATTGATGTAGAGCGATCCCTAATTGGGTTACTTCCTCTAATAACTCGTCGCTGTCGAGGGGGTCTCATTTTAT